ATATTTTAAAATTGTATTGAAATTTTCCAATTTCATAAATTTCATATATATGCAATATATCATGATGACTATGAAATGTTTTTTATATAATTATTTATAAAATTTAATTTATATTATTATATCATTTATTATATCATTTAAGATATGGATAAAAAAATATGCAATTGATAATATTTGCATAATCTTAATAAATGGATTTCTGAATACCCTGGAAAAGATTTTAAAATGATAATGAACAAACAATTATTTATGACAACATAAGAGTAATTTCTATTTATAAATACATTTTTATTTTTATTTGCATATGTATATCAAACATTAATTTTTCTTAATAATTGTAAAAAAATATTTCTTTATTTTTAATTTATTATATTTACAATATTGTCATTATAATAATTTCTTTTTAATATCTTATAAATCTTGTCAATACAAATATGATTTTGAAGACAGAAATCTTAATTAACAAATAATTTAATTGTTTATTATAAATAATTTATTATTTATTAATATCTTTGTGAAAATCTATTCTATGATATATAATTTTGTATTTAAATTATTCAAATTATTTATATTTTAAAATCATAATGTTAAAAACAAAAGAATTATTTTTGAAAAAATTATTTGAAGTAAATTTTTCATATATAATATCAAACAAAAAAATTATAAAATAATAAAATTAATATAAAGATTTATATTAAAAGAAACCAATGAAATTTTAAATATTCTTCATTAATATTTTTCATTAATAATTATATACCTCAAGAAATATTTTTACATTAAATTTGAATGTGAGTAATGAATAAAAAATATTTGAAGTAACTATTTTTAGGCTCATTTTTATTTAAATATTGAAGAATCATATGATCAAAGAAATGAAAATTATTCCAAATCAAAGGATGAATCATTTTATTATAAAATAGGTGATATTATAAATTTTTCATCAAAAAATATTCTTTCTAAACATGAGAAGGAACATGAACTCTATGGTATTGATGGATATACTTGCATTTATAAAAAGACAACTAGATAAAATAATGTAGACAATTGATTGGCTATTTCTAATAGATCCAACAATTATGAAAATAGACATGCGTATTGGTCGAAAGTTTCATATATATAAATAAGATCTTATATATTATATATCTATAGTATTGCTAATAAGCAAGAGAGGGGAGTAATTTTCCTCCCCTCTACTATTAGCCATCTTCACGTAGATGCAGTTATACTTGTAGTTATACTTTCTTTTCTCATTCATTGAAAAATATATTACCATGCAACATAATAATTTATATTATAAAATTAACAATATGTCAATTTCAGAAGACATTGAAAAATGGATAATGGAAAGAAAAAAGTAAGTTATAATGATTTATAATTGATAATGATTAATGATTTATATATAATATAATCACATCACAGAAGATATCCTACAAAAATTAATGTTGAATTACGAAAAGCTGAAGAAATAGAAAAATTACAAAGAGGAGAAATAATTAAACAAAAACAGGAGATTACTAAGCGGAAAAGACATAAATTTTTACGTTCTTATAATCGAAAAAGAATAATAAAAAAGGAACCTATTATAATATCTAATAATATTGAAGAACAAAAGGAAACATATAGAGGTTTGCATCGATTTTTTGGAACATGTGAGTATTTAATTATTTTCTATTATTTCGACTTCAAAAAAATCAAGTAACTTTCTACTATAACCTTTTGTTCTGTTTGACATTTTGCATTAAAAATGTCATATATATATATATATATATATATATTATAAATTTTGGCATATTTATTATATATATATTACAAAAATTTATTTCAAAGAATGATTTTATTCCTAAATAGTTGAAATTGAATTATAATTATTTTCCACATGTTGTTCTTGAATTTTTTTTTTTACTTATATATAAGAAAAATGTTCAAAGAAATAATCTTTTTATAAATATATTTAATGTTAATATAAATTTATTTAATGTTTTAATGAATGTGTTATTCAAAAAATGTAATTAATATATAATAATATGTAATAATATATATAATAATAATATAATAATAAATTTTTAGTAATAACTTGAATATTAAATCATTGATTATACTTAAATAATCATATCTTGTTAGTAATTAACATGTTTATCATCTGTGTTTACAATTGTGTGATGATTATTATTTTACGCTTCAAAATTTCTTTGTTTTTTTTTTTATTTAATAATTAACTGACTAAGATTAATAATTATTAAAATTATTTAAATATGAATGAAATTATAAAAAAAAATATAATTTATAAAAAATAATTTTTATATTTCTGAAAATAATATAAATATTTAAAAATTATAAAACTATAAATGTACATATATATATATATTTTTTAGTATGCTTAAGAAAAGAAGATTTGGAAATAGAAAAGCAATCTAATAATGAAATTGAAAATAATTACAAGGAAAATATTAATCAAATTTCTGATGAAGAAGAAATATTAGATGTATTGCCAAAATTTACTATTTCTAATGTACCTAATTTAGTAGCAAATTATGAAAGTGTTTCAGAAGAAAGTAAGTATAAGATATAAGAAAAAATTTTTCATATAAGAAAAAATTTGTAATAAATTCATTATTTATAATAAAATAAAAATATCTAATGTTTACATATATTTCATTTGTAGGTGATATGCCTGAAGAAGTATCATTTAAAAAGATAAGTTTAAATAATGAAAACAAAGAAAATAATGCAATAAAAGATGAAGTAATATATGAAAATAGATCTATTCAAACACAGCCAATAGATTCAGTTTGTAAAATTTCCAAAATTAATCTGACATTGAATCAAAATTCAAAAAATAAAGAACAGAAAATTATAAATAAGATGCCACCATATACATCACAATTATTACAAAAATTACTTTCACGATCTATTCAACATGAAAGAAATTTAATATGTCAGTGTATAAAATATATAATAGATAATAATTTTTTTGATTAAAATTTTGATTACATATTTTTATTTATAATATAGATATATATTATATATATATAAAATAGATATATATTATATATATATATAAATATTTTCCAAATAGCTCTTTATAAATTAA